AGAAAGAACTGGAGTGTGGAGTAGCTGGGAAAGAAAGAACTGGAGTACCCATAGAAAATGGCACTTGAAGTGCAGCTAGTGCTCTAGGTGTGGCCTGAGTGAAACTGACGTGGGAAACCCAACAGCAGGCATGTTTTAAGCTCATGGCTAATTGTTAAAAGCCATGTAGAAAGCAGAAATGGTTGTAAGTGGGTCTCAGCCTGATTAGTGTGCCTGTCAAGCAAGGTTCTGCACCATAAGAATTGGAGGATAAGCAAGAATGGTAGATGACTTATAAAGAAAAGGGAGAAGAAAGAAGTAATCATAGTAGTGATGATGATGTTGGTGGTAATAGTTGGTATAGTGGTGGTAGTGGTAATGGTAATGGTTGGTATAGTGGTGGTGATAGTTGGTGTGGTGGTGGTGATAGTTGATGTGATGGTGGTGGTGATGGTTGGTGTGGTGGTGGTAGTGGTGGTGGTCTTCATGGGTGTCTAGGAGAATGAGTCCTGTCAGGGCCTCCTCACCACCTGAAACTGTAGAACACACTCCTTGGGAATATTCTGCATGGCTGGGGTTGGATTTTATTTCCCACAGTTCTTTGCAGATGGAGTTGTAGGTCTGCTCTTTGTCCTGCTTGGGTAGCACTGACTTTCATCTGTATGCTCCTTGGGTTTGTGCCTCCGAACCCCTTGAATCGTCCTGCTGCCGAGTTATGTCACTCTTTGCTTTCCTCCCTCAGTGAAGGGGAGACTGTAGTGTGTGGTATTCCTTAGATTCCAAGCCAGAAAATAGAGGCCCATTACCTGCAAATCAGTTATCTACTTGGGATTCTTATGCCCTCAAGCTGATACCTTTCTTAGCTATACTCTGTTTCCTGAAAGCATTCGACTGGTTCTTAAGCCACAGCCTGAGTGATAAAGACACAGCAGCCAGGAGGGACATACTGAATCCCATTATCAGAGGAGCCTTAGACGTCTAGTGGGGCAGACCCACTACTGAACTGTTTGCTGAATGAAACAGACACTGGGAACTTTTTCAGCTTACATTATTCCTCCTAAAACTGCAACTTGGCCTTTAAATGGATTCTGGAGTTGATCTGTTTTGTATGTTCAACCTCTTAACAATAGAGGGAAAGTTATGGTTTTATTTATATTTCTCACTGAGCAGATTTACACACACACACACACACACACACACACACACACACACCTCCCTCCCTCTTAAGGAATCCAGTGTTGTAGTAACCTAAATGATCCTTACTTTCTGTAGGGAACACACTGTGGCTTTGGTAATTGGCGTTGATTGTGGCGTTCTGAGGGCTGGGAACATGGTAATTCCAGCCTCTAGTCCTCAGCTTAGAAACATGCACGACCAGGACAGCGCTCTTTATAGCGTGTTAATTCGTGTTAAGAAATGCTAAATGTGTGTGGGATCTCATTGTTCTTTTTCTCTTCTGTGTGTATGATCTATTTTGTAGGAGTATAAATTGAAACACATTCCTGGAACGTATGATGGCTTTAAGATATTTTTGTTGTGCTTATCCTGGAAGTATAGAACAGGCTGTGCACCAGAGCTAATGACAACAGGCCCTTTAGCATTTGTGTGTTATAACAGTGGCCACTGGGCAGACAGCTGCCAAACATCTTGCAATTAATCTGATACACACATTGGCTTTCATATTCTTTTTCTTCCAGAACAAATGCCCTGAGGTAGAGGAATTGGTCTTCAGCCACTTTGTGATCTGTAATGACACACAGGAGACACTGCGGTTTGGCCAGGTGGACACTGATGAAAATATCCTGCTGGCAAGTCTCCACAGTCACCAGTACAGCTGGCGTTCTCACCGATCCCCACAGGTATTCGAGAAGCAGGCTGACAAACAGCCATTGTTCAGGATGGGGGTTTGTTTATTCTGCAGTAGTGTCTGTGTCCGGTTATTTCCCTGTGTAGTGGCGTCTGATGGGAACCCAGGAATGTTCAGAGGCCGTGCTCCCCGTGGAGTAGAGTGTGCTCTGATAAGTGTGAGTGCTGCTCAGGAAAGAGAGGCCTCAGAGGGCTGGGTCCTTCTGCAGAGTGGGGTGATGCAGTCCCTGCTCTGTGGAAGGAAGGTGCGGTACTGCTGCGTGCTGTGCAGGCAGTGTTACGTACATGCCTTGTGACAGGTACACGCTTGTCGCCGGCAGTGCAGAGACAGAAAGTCTCTGTGACTTCAGAGACGGCTGAGGTCATGCAGCGACCACAGTGACAAGCTATGCCTGAGGAGACCAAGAAAAGACACAGCAAAGGGTTCTGTTCTCCACGTGGTGCAACTCCATTTTCCTGTCACTTTAGATGGGGATAATTAGAGAGATGTGCCCTGCAGGGATAGTCTACGGATGAATTAAATGCAAAGATGTGGTCTAAATGAGAAAAAGAAATCCTAGGAAGTATTCCCAGGAATAATGTATTTCTAAAACTCTGGTAATAAACTACTATCTGCTTGTGATTAAAAGTGAGTCATTAGATTAGAGAGTATGTTTTCCCATGTGGTCCATAGGTCTGTTCCACCCTCAGGCTTCACCCCCTTCCTTTCTCCTCTGTACCCCAAAGAACTAGATTCTTGTCTTTTGCTTATTTTGAGTTTTTTCACATGAAATCACCCACTGTTGACATAAAATTTGGAAATATAGACACAATGAAGTATCTTTTATCTAAAAATCTTAATTTTAAAGCAAATTAATCTGACAGGACTTTAAAATTCTAAGCTTTTGTAAATACAAATTCTCTTTTTAAAGATTTGTTTTTATTATTTTTGATTATGTGTATGAAGTGAGTAAGTTTGTGTCCTTGAGTTCAAGTGCCCACAGATGCCAGAAGCGTGGGGTCCCCTGGAGATGGAGTTATAGACCGTCGTAGACTTGACGTAGGCGCTGGACCCAAGCTCTGGAAGAGCAGCACAGCTCCCTCCAGTGCCTTGAAATATAAATCCTTACGAAAGCTTCTCACACCATGTGATACTACACTTAGAGTTTTATCCTAAATCACACATATTTTCCAACTTTTCTCTTGAAAATGTTCCATGTTAGAGTTTTCATTTGCCCTGTGTGACAGGATGGACATTGTATTTATTTTGAATTTTTCTTTTTGCTAGTTTTTTCTTATTGGTTTTAAAGTTAGGAGCTTGCAGAACAAAGGCCCATGCACATGCAGTCCCAACCATAGTGACACTTGCTGTCTGGATGTTTCCATGGCCACTGCACCATCACCTCCACCTCCACCTCCACCTCCACCATCGCCACCACCTCCACCATCGCCACTACCTCCACCTCCACCTCCACCTCCACCTCCCTCCACCATTGCCACCACCTCCACCTCCACCACCATCATCACCACCTCCTCCACCTCCTCTACCTCCTCTACCTCCTCCACCACCTCCACCTCCTTTTTCTCCTCCACCTCCACCTCCTCCTTCTCCTCCACCTCCACCACCCCGACCTTTAGGATTCCTGGACTCTGGGGCTCAGCTGGCAAGGCTGATCTTAACACATGCGTCAGGCCTGTGGGGACATGCTGTCCCTGGGTGGACTAGAGGTCAGTGAGAAACAAGAATGAGCATCCACTGTGACCATTACAGCTGTCATAGGTGTGCTTTAAAAAAGTTATTACTAGTTTATCTCACAACTTCTCTATGTAATCTGTCGCTATATCTATTTTAAGTATAAGGGAACTTGATTTTATTAGTTTGTATATGTAGTTTTATATCCCTAGTCCTATCTCCTTCCCCTGTATTTTGTCTGTATGATTCATCTAGCCTAGCTCTGCAGTTTTAGGAGAAGGGCTGAGAAATCTCTGATACAAGAGTGATGGGGGGGGGGGGGCTGGAGAGATGGCTCAGAGGTTAAGAGCACTGACTGCTCTTCCAGAGGTCCTGAGTTCAATTCCCAGCAACCACATGGTGGCTCACAGCCATCTATAGTGAGATCTGGCGCCCTCTTCTGGCATGCAAGCATACGTGGAAGGAATGTTGTATACATAATAAATAAATAAATAAATCATAAAAAAAGAGCAATAGAGGGTTCTTGGTCGATATGTGAACCCTTGCAAAGGGGTTAACTTCCGTAACTTTTAACTTACATAAATGAAGTTCGTATGGAGCATTGTCCCTAGCCAGGTGTGATGGTGCACCTGTATCCCAGCACCCATGAGGACCAGGAAATTCACACTATTCTCGACTACCTGGGAGTTCAAGGCCAGTATGAGCCGAGTGAAATGGTCTCAACCCCATCCCCACCCAAAAAAAGAAAACTTCAAGTTTAAATCAGACTCCTTTAAAGGAAAATGATGTCCTTTTTATGTTTCTATGTGTGCTGAAATGTATTTTAAGACCTCTGAAGCCAGAGGCCTTAATGGGCCCAGAGGGCACTCACGGAATTCCTATCATCCACAAGAGCACAAGCTGCTCTCTAATGAGAGGCTACATCTGAGCTCAGATCAGAACAACCAGCCACTAACTGCACCTGGAGCTCGTCACAGATGCACAAGTGAGCAACATGTTCCTTTTTCCAGATTCCAAGTCATATCCTGCATTGCCCAGCAATCTTGGTTTTAGGAACATTTGTGTCTGTGTGTTTATGCAACCTCGGGTATTAGTCAATTCATAGTCTCTGGGAGAATTTCTAAAGTTCATAGAACTTAACTCCACTAAACAATGCAGCTTATATTGCAGAGACCAAGAAAGTGGCGGTGACGCCTGGAAAGGTTTCAGAAGGTCAGGATCTCTCAGAGCCACACAGAAGGTTGCTAACAACATTGAATCCCAGGAGGACAAGAAGAAACACGGACATACCAATCCCAGAAACCTTGAGCTGAGGAACCTTTTTGGATCGAGAAGTCATAAACTCCCTTATAGTTTGTAACACATGCTTTGAGGCAGTCACTTAAGATGTTGGACATTCCACAACAATTTCTTGCCTAAACAAACAAAAGAAGAATAGAACTGCTTTTTGGGGAGCATGTTCAGCTGCACAGAGTTGTTGGTGCCACCACAGGGACTTAAAATATACACGTCCAGCTCGCCAGATAGGTTGTATAACCAAAATCATCATCAAGGAATTTGTCTTCAAAGAAGTTTTTCATGGTATACGGAGGTGAATGTAGATCCTGGAAGTGTAGGTTCATGGCATCTTCCCAGAAGACGAGCAAGTGTATGTGGCTCAGAGATAACAGAAGCCTTGTGTGATGTAACCAAACTAGGAAGAGCAGCTCCTCCATAAACCATAGGATTTACATAGAAGCTATCAAAATAACTTCCTTTCTGGTTCTAGAGAGTACTTTGGTTAATCTTTTGAAATAGGAATATGCCTGCCTTGTGTGTTAAGAATTCATACTTCTATATACCTTCAAAAAGTACAATTTATGAATTATGTACATTTTTAGAGGTATAGAATTCCAATTATCAGTGATTTAGTTTGTTTTGTATAAAAATTTATTTTTATTTCATGTGTATGTGCACCATTGTGAGCAGTGGTGCTCGAAGAGGTTAGAAGAGGGTGCTGGATATACAGTCAGTAGGTTAAGGATGGGAGCCAACGGGGTGTGGGTGCTGAGAACTAAACCCTGGTCTTCCCAAGAGTCGTCAGTGCTCCAGCCCCACAGTCGCTTAACTTTAGTAATTAAATCAAGCAAGGTAAAAATGGGGGGGGGAGTCTCTAGAGAGTGTATATAAAATAATAAAATATTTTTCTGAAATGAATATAAAAGTAGTTTGTAAGTTCAGGAACATAACACATTTTTTGAATTGTAAAATGTAGCTAGTTAGGAATTAATTTTGATGACCAGCACAGTAGCACAGTATCTTGCAAAATACTCAGCAGAGATAAGTACCAAAAATATAAACCCTGCCTGTAAGATGGAGGCTGGCAGCTGTTCTCTAAGGTACCAGGTGGTAGATACACTAGGCTTTCACAGCCTTCCAGCCTGTGCTGCAGCCTCTCAGCATGCAAGGGAACAGCAGAGTCCAGGGATGACTCAGCATTAACAGTGTGAAGGTTCAGGCAGCTGAGAGCACTTGTTGCTCTTAGGGAAAACCCAGGTTCAATTCCCAGCACTCACGTGACGACTCACAAGCACCCATCATTCAGCCCCTGGGATCCAACACCCTCCTCTGACCTTCTTTGGCACCAGGCTTGTACATGTGCACAGGCATACTTGCAGGCAAAAGCTCATACATAAAATGGAAATGAATAAATCTAATCTTTAGTTTTTTAATAAAATCTTTTTTAAAGTTAGTTTTTAAAATGTAAAGGTTCCTAAGCTGCCCCAAAAATGTTCTGTTTGCTCTTAAGCCTATATTGCCATCCTTGTTTTCATCCCTGTGCTCGGAGATGTTAGGAGACTAAGTCGATTCCAGTTTTACAGCATTGGGAGGAGTTGTGTCCTAAAGAACTGCCAGTTGTCTTGAGAAGATGTCCCTGTGTGTAGCAGGCAGTTACAGAGTTATATAAGGAGAGGGATGCTGTAGTCACATGCCATCAGCTGAGATGCTTGTGATAGAGGTGAGGTGCACAGAGAGTGGTTTGTGCACCATTGCGTGTCCTAAGACTGGGGGTAATGATGAGTTAAGCTGCAGGCACACTGCACAGACGACAAACAGGAGACTGATGGCTCAGCTGCAGGCACACTGCACAGGCGCACAGGAGACTGATGGCTCAGCTGCAGGCACACTGCACAGGCGCACAGGAGACTGATGGCTCAGCTGCAGGCACACTGTAGACAAACAGGAGACTGATGGCTCAGCTGCAGGCACACTGCACAGGCGCACAGGAGACTGATGGCTCAGCTGCAGGCACACTGCACAGACGCACAGGAGACTGATGGC